AGAATGCAGCAAAAAGCAGTATTCTTATACATAAATTCTACACATTGGTTGGTACATAGCACTAGAATAAATTGCTAAAACTGAAATTGTTAAAGAGTATGTGGATTTTGTCAGATTGCTCTCCAAACTTGTACTCCCACCAACAGAAGAAAGTCCTAATTTTATCACACGCCCACCAACACTGTGCATTTTTTATCTATTTCAATTTGGTTATTCAAATCTGATGTTGCATCTTTAATCCTTATAATACACACACTTGAAAAAATTCCTGATAGCCTTCTATGGTCTTATGCCATTTAAACAGTTCATTTATTTCCTCGACCAGTTGGGTCTATGTCGTAAACTATAAAATGCATAAATTCTTTATACTATAAACATAAGCCTTAAATCTTATCAATTTTTTCTGTATTTCTCTCACAAATGTGTTACCATAATAAAAAGTTATGTTTCTATTCTATGCTTTGTCATAATTTACATAATTATCTGAATTAGGAACTTGACATTGTGGGTTTCCATTTTTAATATATTAATTTGTATTTTGGCAAAACAATTTAAGTTAAATTATAATTTCTTACTTGCACATAAGTATTATAAACCATATTGATTTCATGGAATATATACTTAATTTATCTCATTAACTGAGAAGAGTAAATCAAATTTTTTAATACCTTTCATTTTTTTCTTTTTCTTACTTATTGTTTTTTTACACACACACACTTTATGGTCAAGAATGCAAAATGAACATCATGCATGCAACTTTATTTGTAATTACTTCCTTACAATAGATTTCCAGAAGTAGTATTATTATGTCAATTTTTTTCTTCTCTATTGTATTTGGTATGTATTGCAATGTTGATTTCCCCAAAGCAGTTATATCAACTAGTTATCATTAATTTAAGAAAATAAAACTGTCATTAATAACTAACATTGATTATTATTTATTCTGTATTTGGTTTATTTAAGGAGTGAAAATGCTTCCGCGTATATGTTTTTATTTGTATGGCTTTTATAACTAGAACCATGGTACCAGTAAATATTTCTGTACTAGTTTTATGTATCCTTAATGAATACATAAATGTGATTATCTATTCGTGCTTTAAAATTTTCTTCTACATTTTTATGTTTTAAGTTTATTAACTCTTCATTGTATGATATTTTCCTATTCTTTTGTTTTCATTTTTTGTTTTAGGGTATGTTTGATTATGGGATTTGGGGCACATAATTTTCAATTTTGGAGTCAAACCTTTCCTTTTGTGATTACAACACTTATGTCTAAGCTTATAGAGGTAAGATTTAGCAATTAATTAGTTCTAGTATCTTCTGGATTTTCTTGGTATGACGTTTGCCTCCAAAATCTATTTTAGAAAACAGATTATAAAAGCAATCAATTTAATAATAAGAATACTTTAGGTTCCTGGTCTCAATTCCAATGTATGTGTGTATGGGGATGGGGGAGGGTTCCACACAACACCAAGCCATTCTTGGGCACTAGAAAGGTGTCTGAGAATTCAATCCAATTCTGACACTATCTACCTGGAGATAGCATCAGATTCCACAGATTGAGGGCTCAGTGCCACAAAACTGCCGCCAACCACTTTAGACTCCAATCACAAGCCCAGGCTGTTACCTGTGCTTTTGAAGACCAGCTACAAATTGGAGGTTCCAATGACCCATGCTTGGATGTCAATTCCAAGTCCAGGTTGTTATCTATACTTTTGACCAATTGGCTATAACTTAGAGAGAGGCTCCCATGACCTCTTCCTCAGGTTTGATTAATTTGCTAGAGCAGCTCACAGAACTCATAGAAACATTTTATTTATTATATTATCAGTTTATTATAAAAGAATATAAGTCAGGAAAAGAGCCAGTTGGAAAAAGATGCATGGGGCAAGGTATGAGGAAAGTTCATGGAGCTTCCATGACCTATCCAGATGCACCACTCTCCTCAATTTGGGCATGTTCACCAATGGAAGCTCTCTGAGCCCTGTCCTTTAGGGTTTTTATGGAGGCTTCATTACAAACGCCTGATTGATGAACTCATTGGACATTGATGACTGATTCAACCTTCAGACCCTCCCTCTTCCCCCGGAGGTTAGGGTGTAGGACTGAAAGTTCCAGCTCTAATCACATGGTTGGCTCTACTGGCAAACAGCCCTATCCTAAGGTGCTCTCAAAAGTTACCTCATTACCATAACAAATTATCTTTATCATTCTCATCATTTAGGAAACTACTAGGGCTTTAGGAGCTCTGTGCCAGAAAAAGGATGAAGACCAAAATTGTATTTCTTATTATAAATCACAATATCACAGACTCTCTTCTAAAGAATGTAATCTGCTTCTATAAAAATTATTTTAAAAAGCTATTTAAAATAAATATTTATCAATTTGTTTGGGTGCAATAAGGTGGATACTTTACCCCTTTTATTCAGTGAATCTTAAATTGTAGGTCAAACTGGCAACAGAAACATACATGTATAGAAAGATTTTCCACAAATTTTTCACTCACATGTAAACTACTTGAAAAGAATAAAAACTTTTCATCCTTTTTTCTTATTTTTAATACAATAACTTTTTTATTTTAAAATAATACATATTGTATTAGTTTCCTATTAAAAATTGCCACAAATTTGGTTGCCTATAACAACACTCATTTATTCTCTTACAGTTCTGAAGGTCAAAAGTCAAAAATGAGTCTTCAGGGACTAAAAGTCAAGGTAACCACAGGGCTGGTACTTTCTGGAGGATCCTGGCAAGAATCTGTTCTTTGCCTCTTCCAGCTGCTAAGAGGTTGCCTGCCACATTCTTTGGCTCCTGGTTGCCTCCCTCCAATAGCTGCTTCTTTCTTCACATCACCTTCTCCCCTGGCTGGCTCTCCAGCTTCCCTCTCACAAAGGCCACCGTGATTACATCTGACCTACCCAGATAATTCAGGATCATCTTAATTTAGATTATCCAAGATCACATCTACAAAGACTTTTACCATATAAAGTAGCATTCACAGGCTCTGGGGATTAGGATGTGGAAATATATAGGAGACCATTATTCAGCCTACCACACCAAAGAAAGCAACCCTTTAGATACAGTCATGAAATTGTTTCAATTAAACCTACAGAGTAAGTTACATTGTATTTTTTTAAAAAAACTTTTATTTATTTATTTGTCAGACAGAGAGCACAAGAGGGGGAGAGGCAGGCAGAGGGAGAAGCAGGCTCCCTGCTGAGCAAATAGCCCGATGCCGGACTAGATTCCAGGATCCTGGGGTCATGATCTGAGCCAAAGGCAGATGCTTAACTGACTGAGTTACCCAGGTGTCCCAAAAAGTTACATTGTATTTGTGGAATGATTGATCAATCTTATTAAAAAGCAAAATTAGAGAAAACCAAGAGGAAAAAATAGAAACTAAAATTATTATATTCTTTCTTTTTTTTTTATCTGTTCCTAAGTCTATATATGAATGCTTTTTTTTAGTAGTACCTCTATATTTATACCCTTTCCACTCTACCATTTAATAAAGGCTACCACTGAAGATATCATCTAAAGAATTGATATGGACATGAACTCAATCCAAGTTTTTCAAGAGAAATGTAATTACACATATCTAAATATTCTTCACTGATATCTCAGAATAACATTGATTTATTAAGTTTATTTAGTAAGAATATTTAAGGAGGAGCACGATGGGCAAAAATGGAGAAGGTAGTTCTTGGCTCCATTTGCCTTTGCAAATTCATCAAAATCACAGCTTGATCTGATCCCCTGTGCTGATATCCTGGCAGTTTGTAAAATTGTAGTTCAGTTTTAAATTAGTTTACATTTCATAGAATAATTTATTTTCTATCAATCTTTGTCTCCACTCTTCCCACCTACCACCTCCAAAACTTTTAAGATCTCCTTTGCAAGATATCTAGTCTCACTTTGTCATTTCAATCATTCTAGCAACCTCATGAACCAGAAATCCTTATATGCATAGTTTCTATTGCCTTTGCACTTCCGTGCTTATGAAATATTTCCAGTTGAAAGTAATGAGATGTCTAACCATCTTATAGTTTCATATTTTGTATTTGATTCCAATATAACCAGGTATTGCTTAACCAGCATAATAAATTAAGTAATAGTGCAGTAAAATGAAATCCAGTCAACTAAGATTTCCTACTAAGTGCAAAGCATTGTGCTAGATGGTGGGAGAAAGATATTTATAAACTCTGTCCCATTTTATGAGTTAACATTTTCAGTGAGGATAGCAATTATATTTTTGCTCTTAAGTATTCTCCCCTGAGGCAGCTGAGGTATGAGGAGCTTTGTTTTGTTTCCCAACCCCCTCCACTTGCTCCTCATTGTGACTCTCAGATGATTCTCTTCCCTTCTCTGGACAACCCACCAGTTTTGAATCTCATCTCTCACTGAGGCTGTTATCTATGAAAACCCTCATCACAAGTCCACATGTCTCAAATGTTTGCTCCTGGTTTCCCGATCCTGTCTGATTCTTAGCTATTGGTTTACACATAGATACTTCTTCCAATTCCCTGGACTCTCAGGTCTTAAAACTCCTATCCTTTAAAGACCTTGTCTTTCACCTGTCTCAATCACTCTACCTGTATGATTACGAAGAAACACAAACCTTTATCAATTCCCTTTACGCTTTTAGCACCACCTTCTTTCCTTCCTGCGCATTCTCTTTGGTTCTCTGGCTTCAGCATTCTTCCAAAACTACTGAAACGTCCAGTCCTACGATCCTATCCCTTTGCACTCACTTCCGTCTTCTTCATGTATTTTTTGCTCTTTATCTGGCTAAAACTTTACCATCTTTACAACACTCCCACGAAATCATCCTCAGCTTTCATGCTTTTACTTGGCAAATCACCACTTGATGACACCAACTCTCCACCTAACCCACACCTACACTTCCACACCTATACCAGAGCGGCTGAATGTGGTAGTTGAAAAGCATGAAACCACACGACTGTGAACCTGAAAGAAGCCATCAGTTGCCTGGTGCTCACCTCTGCCATTTTCTCTGTACCTCTTCTCTTCCAACTCCCAGCACCGTCTCCTCTTCCAACTCCCAACTGCCTCCTTCCTCATTGCTCCCAGGTGAGAAATTTCTTCCTGTAGAGCTGAGAAAATGGAAACGATCAGAAAATAATTTCTGGATTCCCTTTCTATATCTCCAATTTATAGGCATTTATGCCCATGATCTCTGCTTTTATTGAGTTATCTTGCTTTTTATCTAAAGCTAATTCCTCTATGTGTGCACGAGATCTTATTCACCAACAATTCTTCCCTCTATTTCCTATGTCAGCAAATTTTCTCCCTTTACTGGATTATTTCCAGCATCATACAAGCACGCAGTCATTTGATGCATCTTAAAAACAACAACAACAACAAAGAAAAGCAAAACAAAACATGGTAAAACCTTCTTTTGATCCCACTTTCCCCACCAACCACCACTCATTTTTCTATTACCCTTTGTATCAAAACTTCTCAAAAAATCATTTATATTGGATGTGTGTGTCTAATTTCTTTCCCTGAATTTTTTAAATTAAAAAATTAGTTTTATTTTCTAAACAATTTGAAGTCAGTCATATAATATTCAAAAGCATGTAGGACTAAATGTTGGGGAAAAAATAGTTGAAACATTGATAACAATTCCTGAGTTACCAAGTTGATGATATTGTGACTTCTATAAAGGTAGAAGAAAAATTATAAGTATTATTTCTTTGGAATATTTGAAATGAAAATAACCATACAGGGGCACTTGGGTGGCTCAGTTGTTGAGCATCTGCCTTCAGCTCAGGTCATGATCCCAGGGTCCTGGGATCGAGTCCTGCATCGGGCTCCCTGCTCAGTAGGAGGCCTGCTTCTCCCTCTCCCACTCCCTGCTTGTGTTCCCTCTCTCGCTGTGTCTCTATCTATCAAATAAATAAAAGAAAAAAATCTTTAAAAAAAAGAAAAAGAAAAAGAAAATAACCATACAACTAGAACTGAGAGGCACCGATGCTTTCATGCATTAACAATAATTGCATTTATCTTATTTTTTATTTTGTACTTATACAGGCCTATACCTGGTCAGGTCTCTCAACATCCATTAAGATGTAAATCTACACTTTATGGACATACTTTTATTAATGTCGCAGTAAAGGTGAACAATTAATCCAACAGAAAACTGCTTCTTATAATTAAACTTAAATTTGTTGAATTTTAAACTGGAATTTAGGTTTGTTTGGAGAATAAGCAAGTTATTTTCCTGGGATAAATATTTCAGAACCATTGTCTACCCTCAGGTTATACGCTTTTTCATACAAATGTTAAAAGGTCATGTTGTGAGAACATTTCCTGCAATGTTTGATTTCATTTCAAGGTAAATGAGAAGTGAAGTTTCAAGCCACGTTCTGAAACCATTTAGCCTTTCCAGTCATGCCCAGTGACGCCAAACTTGAATGTTTTGAAAAAAGTTAAGTGCTCACAGTGCCAACACTAGGGAAATATTTGCACAGTCCTCCTTCAGTGCATATCAATCTGAGTGCTGCTTTTATTTCATCTTCATAAAGCATTAGATTAAAAAATTAGTTCCAGAATGGATGGCATTTCTAAATACTCAGTTAAACTATAAACCACTTAGTCTTCAGTCATAATACCTAGGTTAGTTTACTTCCCTTAACTCTAAATCCAGAACGGCTGATTTCATGGAAATAAATTCTGAAAGAAGTGCATTCACATAAACAAGAAATTAAATGCTAGATATAGAGATTGTACACTCCTTTGTCTCCATATTTACCAAGCAAATGATTTACCAGTAAAAGGAATATATCAGGGGCTCCTGGGTGGCTCAGTCGGTTAAGCCTCTGCCTTCAGTTCAGATTATGATCCCAGGGTACTGGGATCGAGAACCAACCCCACCCCACCCACCACCGTTGTCGGGCTCCCTCCTCATCAGGGAGACTGTTTCTCCCCCTCCCTCTGAGCTTCCCCCTGCTTGTGCTCTTTCTCTCAAAAAAATAAATAAAATCTTTAAAAAAATAAAAATAAAAAAGGAATACATCATCTTTACTCTTTCTATATTAAAAATATTTAATTATATTGCTTCGAATTATTTAGTGTTTAATAAACTATACTTCTGCTCTTCGGTGGTCAGCTCGTGATGGAAAAAGAAAGTAATTATGGTAACATATTTGAATAGCACCATCTGCTTTTTTAAATTTGTTTTTGCCCTATACAACGTGCACACAAAAGCTGATTAGAGCTTTTACCAGAGAATGTCATTAAGAATGGTGAGAAACAGTGGAGGAGAATGAATGAGAACAGTGATGTTTCCAAGCTAATTAATCAGTTATATGAAGGCAGGGCAGGCTAAAATGAGGTAATGATAAAGAAAGGGGGGGTGGGATTCAAGATGACATCATAGCTTCTAGCTTGGGTGACTGGATAGACGGTAAAGTCATCAAAATAGATAATAAAGAAAGAGAAACTGGTTTGGGGGGCGGGAAGCCATGAATTCGCCTTTGGATAGGTTTCATTTGAAATGCCCCCGAAATACAGACTAACACTGCTATTTTTTAAGAGAGTGGTCAAAATGTAAATTCTGGAGTCATAAGAACATGGTAGATAGGTGAAGCTCTGTGGTAACACCTGTAGGAGCTAAAGGCATCTGCCTGAGGAGAGCAGCTTGGAACATGTAAACCTTAAAGAAACAAACAGAAGGAAACTAGGCAAAGTGAGGGAGAATATGAAGACCAGAGAGGTAGAGGGGTTTGAGTCATAAAATCATAGGTTTAGAGAAAAGTTCTTCAAATGGGGCTTGGAGGTTAAGTTTGTGTGGACTCATCTCTACAACATTGCACAAACCATTCAGATGGCCTCCCCTTCCTCTTTCTGCTCATGAACCCTATGTATCCTGCCAGGTGCTAGCCTCCCTTCTCCCAAGCTCAGAGTGAAGCTCTCTATACACCTAAAAGCATTTTATGAAAGTATCCTTCCACCAGCTAACACTCTTAATTATTGCTTAAAATTTCAAACTTAAAAAATAAAAAATGGCAACCTTAACCTCTCCTTGGCCCTCTAACTTTCACTATTCTGTGCTACTTTTTTCAATGATACGTACCATGCTCTGGGGTACCGTAAATTTTATTTTTATTTTTGCTTACTATTTATTAAGTGTTTTCCACCATAAGGGCAGGAGTTTTAATCTTTTTTTCATTGATATATTCCAAGTGTCCAGAGTAGTGCTGAGTATGTATCAGGTACTCAATAAATCTTTGTTGAATTAATTAATAAAGGCATACTATTTCTACAGCTATTTCTCATTGTGGTTGTTTTTCTCTCTGACCAGGGGGCTCCTTGTTCCTCATTGTTGCTTCCAGACCATTCTCTCTTCTTGACTACGAAATCACCAGTGTTGGATTCCATATACTAAACTCCAGTCCCTTCATATCTTCCTGTTACTATCTTCTTTCTTCCATACTCCCAGGACATCCATCCTTCCCCACCTTCCTGTAAATCTGTCCTGGATTTCGGTTATTGGATCACCGTCAGTCTCCTTAACCCTATATATGGATAACTTGTGTTTGCTCCCCCAGATCTACACCCCATTCTTCTCCACTCTGCTCTGTGTCCCTCGTGGATTGCATCAAAAAATCTCCCTTGACTTCTGGCTTCCCCATGAGTTAGACCAATGGGAGGGATTGTAGGACACTAGAGGGCAGGAGGAGAGTGAAGTCAGTTCACACTAATTCCAGAATCCCCTCCCACCCAGTAATGGTGGCTTGGCTTCCAATTCCATCAGATGACCATCTCCATGGAACTTCCTTCTAACTAGGTTCCAGCTTCCTCTTCTTCAGCCTTAAGGTTTAAGATTGTTAACCCATTGGTAATCACAGGGTACCATACAACTATTCCATGTGGGATCCTTAAACTTGAATCCCCATCAGTAGTCATCAAACTTTTCTCAAATTGCCCATTTTGAATATGCCATTGGTTTTTCTGCTAGATCCCTGACTGATAGATATAACCTCCTTTTTTCTACTTTATTCTTTCTAGTATTCATAGTATTCACCTTCAGAAAATCCCTACCTGATTGCAATCTTTAGTCCATTGCTCTTATTTTCTTTCACTGTCCTTCATTCACCTTACATCCTCTTTTCCCTCCTTACTCAGCTCACATTTCATCATCAATCCTTGTAGTCACTCTCTTGCTTCCAGCCTCAGCCTCTCTGTCCCACTGTAGCTGAGTTACACTGGCATAGTGAAAATACACCTCATTAAATCAACTTTCTCCCTGTTCTGTGCCTGCACCCATGCAGTGACTATAGCAGGAAAAAAGCACATAATCATGCTGAATTCATGATCACTAACCAACCGCACCCTTAACAGCACCTGGCAGTCATACCATACCCCCCATTCATTCACTCCCTCTTACCTCTTCTAGATAAGATTTTATGCTTCTCCTTTCTCTTCTCAAGCTGCTGAAATCTCCTCTCTAATCTCCATTCTCAACTGATGACCTGTTTCTTTTTTCACTAAGGAACTTGTAGCAATCAGAAGAGTTCTTATCTTTATATGTATCCTTCTACTATGATTTTCTAACTTCTCTCTTGTTCCTGTGAAGGAATTATCAAGGTAAAGCTGATTTTTTTTTTTTTTTGGTAATTTGTCCATTACATCCCTTTCTCTATTTCTTATTCTCCCCACTCTTTGTGTATTACTATTTCCTATGCTACTAAATTTTTCTTGTGAATATACAAAGATGTGGTTATTTCTCCCATCTTAAAACAGACAAAATTTATTTGAGCCCATTTCCCCATCCAGCTACTGACCCATTTCTCACTTTTTCTCACAGCAAAATTCCTCGATAAGGTTTACAGTAGTTACTGGCTCCAGTTCCTCTCCCCCTATTGTGCCTTGAACCCATGCCAATTAGGTTTTTCCCCCTACTAATCCACAAAAAAATATCAAGTCACCAGTAATCTCCACATTGCTAAATCCAAAGGCCAACTCTCAGTCCTTATCATACCAGATCCATCCAGCATGTGGCACAATGAATATTTCTCTTCCTGGAGATGATTTTTCGCTTGGCTTCCAGGACATCAGAGTTTCTTGGTTTTACATCTACGTATCTGGC